TAATATCAATTGATAATTTACGTAATGGCAAAATACTGAACATCCTCCTTACTATGATGAAATAGCCAACGTGTAATTTCAGGTTACTTATTAAGCAATCAGTTATCGTTCAGTTGTTTTGGATGATGGTTGAAATCTACCAATCAAGCCTCAATGTGATCTAAACGACTTGATATCGCGTGTACTTTCTTGCTTTTGACTCTAATATTCTCTGTATTGTGAAGTTGAATCATGCAAGTTTAAATCACAGAAAGAAAATCAATTACGTCCATAATTAATCTAGAAGATTCACTTTCATATGAAATAATTAAAAACAGTTAAATTTGAAATCTATTAAAAGTAAATATTTAAAAGTCTATTACATGAGATGTTTACAGTTAACTTCAAATCAATTCTGTTGTGTTATAAAAAGCCAAACAGAATTGGCCAGAAGTGAAGGCCATTTGATGATCATCAGCAAATGGATTCATTTTACAAGTTCTGGGATATATATATATATATATATATATATATATGTATATATATATATATATAAGTATTTTTAGATAATATTCTGTAGCAAAACGAATTTCCTTTTCTGCTCTTGCCTTGTCTCCTCAAATAGTCACTTTGCATGATTAGTATGTATCATGTTCATATCTTAGGACATAGCACTTCCATAGCAAATATCATGGGTTTTGCAAAGAAATCCTAATTTAAATGGATGTTTTTATAATTTTTGTTACGCCTGCACGTAAACAAGTCAACTTTATGTACTTGAACTATTACGAGTTTACCGTAGTCGGAAAACGAATGCGAGGATCGAGGATCCGGTGACACGACATACTACTCAAATCCGATTATCACAAACCCCATACTTGATAAAAATAAGAAGACAAGACTTGATATGAAGTAGAACCTTTATTCTACAAGCATTCAGAAAGTACGAGGTCCGAATCCGGAAAAGAGTCAGGATCCCCGACTAGGGATCTGGGACCGGGTCCTGGTCCTGATCACAAAACGTTACACATAATGCGTATTTATACATTTTGGTTGAATAGGAAACAGCATCGAATTCTGTGACATTGACAGTTAGGACGACCAATAGGAAGCAACATTTGAAGTGACATTGATAGTCAGGACGACCATTAATATGAAATAACATTAGATCACGTGACATACCAGGACGAAACGGCCGTCATTCAGTGCTTCCAGGTTACTAATGGTGGTGTAACATTGATCGGTTCATGGTTTCAAAAATGTGGAAAGCAATATTGTTCGCCTATATGTGTTGTTCTAATAACAGATTAGTTCTAATCACTTGTGAATGGTAACTCGGAAAGAAAAGCTTAATTAGTTTGTACATGTATGCATTGACTCAAAGATTCACTTTTTATTTCTTCGCATTACGGGTTTGTGAAGATTGTTAAGTTACACATTCTTTGAAACCATGAGTCGATCAATGTTAGACCACCATTAGAAACCTGGAAGCACTGGACGGCCGTTTCGTCCTAGTATGGGACTCATCAGTGGCAGTGCGCATCCACGACTACTGCAGCCCGCAGGATTCGAACCCATCTTCATGTATCACAATTTTAACAGTAGATTCAGTAATGAGTTAATTGATTGGTACTAAGAAAATCTTGTATTGTTTTCATATGCGTATATTTTTTTTAAAAACTTTCAAGCAGCAAATTGTGATGAAATGATATGAAGAAAATAAATATAAGATGCATGAAATTCATAATGTCTTCAATGTAAAAATTGCATTTTAAAAGATTAAAATCTTAATATTTCCTCCATACAAGTACATCATATTCATTGACTGAATATTCTTTTCCACCCCATGGTAGGTAAGCACATGAATGACCTTCATGTAACTGAAATATATACATTAAGAAAAAAGAAAATACATATTGTTAGAATGGATGTAGAATACATAAGAAATCATTTGTATTCAATCAAACATTTAATCAGACTTCTAGTTGGAATAATCATTAATTACAATGTTAACTGGTTGGAAGTAGTCGATAGAAAAGCTCTACTAGAAATAGGTTTCACAAACAATCAGCCTGACATATCTATATGGCATTCTCACTAACTGATCATTGATTGATAGCCAAGATATCAAGTCTTTTGGACTAGTGATCATAATGTCAATTGATCGATGGGATTTAGTCAGTGCCAAGGACAAGATAAATATTACACTTGATCAATTCACGGAGTTGCGCAACCTCATACACAGTCTTCGGTAGTTACTGTCTACACCCGAACAGGTTGAACTTCACTGGTCGCGCACTGCTGAGGAGTCCCATACTAGGATGAAACGGCCGTCCAGTGCTTCCAGGTTTCTAATGGTGGTCTTACATTGATCGATTCATGGTTTCAAAAATGTGTAACTTGACAATCTTGACAAAAACCCCGTAATGCAAATTACCTGTGCTCACTAGTCACTAGCTTCGTGAGGAATCTTCTCCGAGTTATAGTGGGAAGACGTGACCAGTGAAGTTCAACGTGTTCGGGTGTAGACAGTAACTAATACCGAAGACTATGTATGAGGTTGCTCAACTCCGTGAATTGATCAAGTCAGACACTAACACCGTTAGATACCGGCTCAGTGGTCCGATGGTTAGGCGTTCGCCTACAATACCGAAGGTCCTGGGTTAGAATCCTGCGTGGTGCAGGAGTCGTGGATGCGTACTGCCGGGGAGTCCCATACCAGGACGAAACGGCCGTCTTTCAGTGCTTCCAGGTTTCTAATGGTGGTCTAACATTGGTCGATTCATAGTTTCAAATAATATGAAAAGTATAAGAAAGTGTAGAAAAATTGTCACATTACCCTAGGCCATACAGTGGCTTAAAGATTACCAGGGTAAAGTCAATGTTATGACAAATTGTTTCTGCACACATAAGGGGGGTTTTATGGAACATGTACCTAAGTGGCTTCAAAATCATTTAACGTCAGATGAGCCGATTAGCGTTGGAAATAGAAAACCATATTCATCGATCGCAAAACACATCCAACGGTGTAAATGTCTAACTTGATCAATTTACGTTAATTTTCTCTCTCCTTTATTTACAACTATCATCACCTTATGTCTATTTGAACTTTTATTTAATTGACCTTTTATTCATCTTCATATAAAATGCCTTGACAAGTGCAAATATGTGTGACCAGATTGTTCGAAATGTGTATAACGCGCAAATACATCACAGCATTTTTCTTCTCACTGTTCACTGTCAAAATTTATAAAAGGGACTAATTGTTTTAAATTTCGAAATTAATTCATGATTTTTAATGAAATATAACAATGAGTAATTTTACCTTTCCAAAACATGTTTCACCATTCACAACACCTTTTACAATGTACAATGGTTCACCATCTTTAGCTATTCCAGCTACAATTGCATTTTTTGGTACATCACCGTCAAATGCTTTTTCCCAACAATATCTGTAAGAAAAAAAACTATTTTATGAAAATGCTTCATCAGTGTAGGAGGCTTGAGGAGTTTGATTGTTGAGTTAGTTTCATTGACATCATGCGTCGATCAGTGTGAGACCATCATTAGAAACTAGGTAGCGCTAGACGTCCGTAAAGGGACCCATGAGCAGTAAGCATCCACTGCTCCGACAGCGAGGATAGAACCCAGGACCTTCGGTCTCTTACGTGAATACGTAACCTCTTGACCACCGAGCCAACATCCAATGTTGTCAATGTCATAGGACGTAACTACCGTACTGGTTTCTTATGTCAGTCTAACATTGATAGATTCATGATTAAAATGAAATTGTTTGAGTTTATGATTGTATTAGTGTTGGGGACATTAGATCCCCAGAACTCGCGTGATAAATGTCCTTTTATTTGGATTTATTCATGTGCTGATCAGTTGACCTTGAGATAACATTTCCCACCAAGAAAATCCTTAGCTGTGATTGATTACTGTGTTATTTCAGTGTGTGTAACTCTCTCAAGGATGTTTTGATGATGTATAAATAAATGCGATTTGTGTGCTTGAGATCACTGTGTGCTGGCTGGGTGTTTGTAGAATATACTTTCTACGCTATATCAAGACTTTTTCGTTAGTTCCTTTGGGGCAACCGATCAGAGTAGCCTACCTGGACACTGGTTCACTGTCTTGTTCTCGTTTATCGACTATGGTGAAACCGTAATAGTTTCAAGCATATTAAGTAATGAGCATAACAATTAGGTAAGCATAGGAGAACTTCTAAATTTAATACTCAGTAATTTGACTTATTTTACAGATAGATGACTTATTCGAACACTTTTTCATTATAATATAATGTTAGATTTATAATTTAACAATAATAAGTTGTTCAATTCATACAATATTTTATTGATTGGTTGTCAGTATGAAACAAACATCATCTATCGTAATAGCCACAGAGTTTTCATGCATCTTGTTCAATATTCAACTCATTAATACACACACACACACACACACAAATAACCTACAAAATAAAATGAAAAGATTCCATTTTGTTTTACTGAATCACACACAGTTCAGTGAGTCGTAACTAATGTAACTATTTGTTTAAGTTATATAGAATAAATAGAATATGGTTAGCAGTGAAATCCAAAGCGTGAGAGTTTCTTCCTAGTTAGGCATTTGTAAGCTGGATCGATGTACCTATATCTCAGGGTTAATATTCACTTCAGGATTTGAACCTAGTGTCATTTACCGTAAACACTATCACATTACCCATTTATTGAATTAAATCGACTTTTTAAACTTTATATTTGTCAGTGGGACATAGATGACTGCGTTAGCTGCGCGCTGATTGGCTAATTTCCTATCCAATCAGCGCCTGGCCCATACTTGGAGAACAGGCTAGATAATTCTCGTGTTGTTAGCTACATGCTGATTGGCCATATCTAATCCAGTCAGTGCTAGTCAATCAGGTGAATTACATTCCAGAAGCTTCTTTTGTAAAAACTAAAAGGACACTAACGTTGTATCTATTTTTGCCTTCGCCTTCGGCTTCAGCTTCGTATTTCCATTTAACCTTGCTGCATGGAATATAATCTTTTCCTGTTCCACCGTGTTTTGATTTTTTGGGACTTGTCCAGTGTATTGTGTGGTCAGAGAACACTAAGCAATAGGAATTAACTGGGAATTATTTAAGCAAGCGTTATAACAGTATAGATTGATGATTTCGAATATGTAAAAACACTAATCTCTATAACTCTAATTGAAAATATCGTAAAATGTGCTCACTAGTGACTAGCTAGTTTCGTGAGGAAATTCTTGGAGTTCCAGTGAGAAGACGTGACTAGTAGAGTTCAACTCTGTTGGGTGTAGGCAATAACTACCGAAGACAAATGCGTGAGGTCGCGCAAAATCTCTATATTGATAAGAGTTAGAAATTAGCACCATTAGATGCCGGCCCAGTTGTCCAATGACAAGGCGTTCGCTCAAAATGCGGAGGTCCCGGGTTCGAATCCTGCGAGGGACAGGGGCCTCGGATGTGCACTGCCGCTAATGAGTCCTATACCGGGACGAAACGGCCATCCAGTGCTTTCAGCTTTCTAATGTCGGTCTTACAATGATTGATTGGTGATTTCATAACTCTAAATGAAAATTCTTTGTATTGTTTATAAGACTTTACGACAATTAATCAATACAAGTCGGATTTTGTTGTCTAATCAGTTAGTACATTCATATAACGATCAAATACATTTAAACATAGATTCCCCATATAGAGTATTGATTTTTAAAAAATGATTATACATTGAACAAGAAAATATTTCAATCGATATGCAAATCAATAATAGGTAAATGTAAGTTTGGTTGGACCTACTACTAACCAGCCATCTTTGTGATATACAAACTAATGACAATATTTACCTCTTTTAATTAAAATAGGTTATATAATTTTTAAACCTGTGACTTAAATATCGACCAATCTCTCAGTAAACAACTTAACTATTATTCCTATTAAGTTCCAATTGTTGAACATTGAAAGTATTGCACCATACTTTAAATACACAATTTGTAACGCATTCGAAATTGCATTTTAACAATGTCAAGTTTCAATTCTTTATTTCTAGTTGATGTCTATTGATTTCTCTATTAAAAAATGTAAATACATTCTGTGTGATTACTGAGTCTTTGGCTCACCTTTTTCTCTTATTCTTTCCTCTTCCAGATAAGTCAGTCAGTCAGTCAGTTGCAACGTAGAACTTCGTACGTATGTACATTAGTTCTTGTTGCCATACCACATTAGCACAGAGACGCGAATGTCAAATAAAATCCCATAGTGATAAAGATAGTGGAGGTATTAATGGTAATGAAGAAGACTAGGGTTTGAAGATATTATTCAAGAAGTATAATTCAGTGAGATATGGTTAGAAAGACAAAGGTAGAGGTGCTGACGAATCCAGAAGATTAAGATTTAAGAGAGCTCACAGAATGGATGCACTTGCACCATTGCAAACGATTTCGAGCCATGTCGTTCAAGGTCTCTAACCATCGGTTACTTTTGTCCCGCGGACCCCCCCCTATTAGACATAATGTACGTACATTAAATGCTCCTGCATGTAGTTTAGAACGAGGTTTAAGGAGACCAGGAACGACATTCCGCGAACTCGCATCGTTTGCATTAGCTGCGCACTGTGATAAATGAATGTGATAATAGTTAGTCGTTGAGATAAGAGAGGTATTAGGGGGTGTGTGACCGCAGAGCCCAAGGGACTACTGCTTGAGGCCATTCACGCACGGCCTTTTATTGAAAGGTATTTTGAGGATTAGCTCCGTTCTTAAAGGCCCTTACTGGGCACCCTTACCCAAGGAGACGGAAATTCATGAGGTAGGGTGAGGTGTGACATTTTTAGGGTCGACCTTTTCTAACCCCTTCCTTCCTTGTGAGAAGACAGCATCGCTGCAGATGCTGGTTGTCCGAGGGAAACACCTTACTGCTGTCACACCTCTCTGCAGTCAGCAGTACGACTTCGCCCTCAGACCTTCCTCCAAATAATCTTACATGCTGCACCACAGATACCCCCGAAACACCAGGTACCTTCAGGCTAAACGAAAACTAACTAAAGTCGGGAGTTGCAAGTTTGATTTACACTGCTGATGCATAGATTACGTCATTAAAGTGTATGATAACAGACGAGCTATGATTACTTTTAACGATTTTAGTAACTCCTTAGAGGGAAACAAACCTCTTTGTTATATGGATGAAATATACATATATATACAGATATTAGATAACAAGTAATAATTTACCCTTTACATGAACCAGGAATAAAACTTTCACATAATACTTCATAATTATAAAATTCTAATTCTTGTCCACCATAAGAACAATAACATTTTCCATTCATTGGTACTAATTTTCCAGGTAATAATTCTCCACTATATTTACTTCGTGCTACACATATATTATCCACGGAAACTGCACCATCTGGACAAAATCCATCACTTCCTGGAACCCATGATAGTGGTATTTGCATGCCTCGACCAACTTTAGCCATGATAAACAGATATGTATATGAATATTTTTTTCCTAAAATCAAATACATGGAGAGTTATCAATAATGTTACTAGAAAACACTAGAGATAATATGTCAAGGGATAATCAAGATGAAAGGGTTAACAATCCGTTTAACCAGCGTTTGAAATTAGTGGTCAAATTAAAATCACAAAACACAGTAATTGAACATTGACTTATCGATTAATGTTTCTACACTACTAATACTATTACTACTACTATTGTGGTGAAGGAGAACACAGGTGAGGACAACCGAATTGTATTTAACGAAAATTACAGAGTTAATTAGTAAAATAGGAAAACCATATCGTAAATCGTTAATTTGCAAAATATCAATCCATCATATCCAACTGGACTTTTCCTGTTGCAAAACATCAATCCATTGTCTGACATTTCACTATTCATGCGTTTCATACAAATTCCATTGTGTTCTAACTCTTCCTTTCTTGTTGATCTTCCCCCATCTTCTGCTGCCAGACATTACGTTTTTACTCGCGTCATATACTACTTATAAGTAGCGCGCATCACACTATTACTACTACTACTACTACTACTACTACTACTAATACTACTACTACTACTACTACTACTAATACTACTACTACTACTACTAATATTACCACTACTACTATTATTAATACTACTAATACTACTACTGCTACTACTACTACTACTACTACTACTACTACTACTACTACTACTATTACTATTACTACTACCACTACTACTACTACCCACACTACTCACACTACAACAACAACTACTACAATTACTACCGTGTTTCAACTCTATTCAAAAGATGCTTGAAGTAAATCCTTCTACTTTGTGCCTATGAAGATGAAATATATTATAAATGGTATGAAATAAACTAGTTTTAGATATGGTGGAGAAAACTTGTAGCTCAGGTGGATGATTGTGGTGGTGTTTCGTTCTCTGAGCGGGTTGTTTTGGTTGTTTTAGATAACTGAATTGAAACATATTTTTTGAGTGAAATTAATCGGTGTCATTTATTTTATAATAAACGTTAAATATTCAATTGTTTTTTCAACATATGTCAGTGAATTTGTGGCCTATCTATTATTTCATCAATGTACAATGAGTGCGTCTTAACAAACATTTTCAGGTATTTTTCTATTCATTTAATGGATGGATGAGTGCTAAAAAACTTCAATTCAATGTCGAAATTTCGTTTCGGTAACTTGGTAAGTACTATTTCAGTTATGTGTTCACAGATGATATGTTGTGTAGATAACTGTAGGTGAATGCAATTAAATTCTCAGTAAAAACTATACTTATGTGGTGCGCGCTACTTATAAGTAGTATATGACGTGAGTGTCAACGTAATGTCTGGCAGCAGAAAATGGGGGAAGATCAAGAAAGGAAGAGTTAGAAAACAATGGAATTTGTATGAAACACATGAACAGTGAAATGTCAGACAATGGATTGATGTTGTTTGCAACAGGAACAGTCCAGTTCGATATGATGAACTGATATTTTGCAAACTAACGATTTACGATATGGTTTTGCGATTTTACTGAGTAACTCTGTAATTTTCGTTAAATACAATTTGGTTGTCCTCACCTGTGTTCTCCTTCACTACACTACTACTACTCATTTTAAAATAGCTTGCTTTCAAAAAAAGTGATTCCACGGTACATTTAAATTCTTAG